CTTGAGTTAAGCTTTTCCAAACTTAGTTACTGTATTTTACAATTCCTAACACTAACTTTCACACAGTCTATTAATTGTGAGCAATACTACTGATAATATACAGCATCTTCATACTGAAAGTTCTGTCATGAAGTTGCAAGTGTTGCCATCTTTGTACGTTTATGCCTCAAGCTGCTTACTGGCAGTGCATTGAATTATGATATTTAGGTCTATGATTATATTCTCACGTTCGAAGATGAATGAACATTAATGTGGCCGAAGAGATGGTCACTGTTAAAAGTCATGTTCTTCATGGTCCGCTATCTTCCTATCATAGACTTGTCAACAGTCATTGCGAGTGGGTATTCACGAGCTCTAGGGCTGCTGCTAGTAACACTAACAGAGCATGAAATTTTCTCTACAGGTCAGTCTAGGGAAGACTTATCGCCTGGGGCTTGTGCAGTTATGTACAAGATCGTTTGTTGTGAGTTGTATACCTTCTGCTATGCTCGAATGAAGCTAAGATGGCGATTATCAGGGACTATTGGTGTTGGTGTCATGACCTCAGAAGGTAATAAAGCATTAAATTACCTTGATCACACTCGTATTTGTTGTTGCTGACAAACTTCAACTCATCACTCAGGCATTGTATTGATCCGAATATATGCAATATGGAAAAATAAGCGTTTCATCCTGGTCTTTCTTTTGGCATGGACTATAGTGAATACAATCCCTGCCCTCGTGTTAATGCAATTCTACACAAAATCCTTGCATGGTAAGTCATCCTGCACCATTTCTTTCAATCTATTGCTGATACTTTCATTGCTCAATTAGCCATGGCATCACCAGCAGACTTTAATGGTTGCTGTTGTTGTATTATGTCAGGAAGCAATATCCTCATCGGCGACTGGATCCTCGTAATTGCATACGAATCTGGTATGTGGCACGTTTATCTATGATCATGCTGATTGGATAAATAACACCCTGCCTGTTTTCTTTTTTTGTATCTAGTGCTCCTTGTACTCCTAGTGGTTAGAGGCTGTCAAATGCGTACGCTTCAAGTTTCTGGAGAACAATGTGTGAACTGTTGCTCAATCAGCGGTTATGATATTAGATAATGAAGTTGGAAATACAGCTCTCTACCTGGCTATGTTCAGGGACGGTACGAATTACCTTTTCGTCCGTCTTTGGTCTGTTAACGAATATCTATCTAGGTGCCATTTTCTACGTGTGTATCTTTGGTTAGTACAAGCACAACTGTGCCCCATGTCGATTACCACTCTTAACTCTGTCGATTCAAGCGCTGTCAATCGGGAATGTAATTCTAATCTCCGCCCTATCCGTAAGCCGTACTCCCGTTCTTTTACCATGCATACTTAAATTTGTCGTTCAATGTAGCATGATAGATCTCGATTTTGTTTCCTTGCAAGGTGTGCCCACTATTCTCACTGCACCGTACTCAATACCACGACTTTTAACTCACATACCAACTACATTATTTCAGCTTGGAACGAGTCATGCATTCTATACTGGCAGGACGTTTACTCTTCACATTGCAAAAGGCCTCAAAAGACGGGATTTATGCGACTACGTCGCACGCCTTAACGACTATACAGTTTTCGGAAACCACCACAGTCCGTACTGCAACGGATAGTGGAACTGGAAGCGGAAGCGAAACTGTTTCTTCGTTCATTATGGGTCAGCCTGAGACGAGACTACCGACATCGGAGGACATTCCAATGATAGATCTTTGTGTTCGTCCCTAACACCAAGGCAATTCATAAAGAATGGGCTCCTACCCCACTGTCCCCCAACACTCCGGCACTTGGTGCGTAAATGCAAGCACACACTCCCTTGACTGGTCCATCCCACTCATCTCCTCATCCGACGAAGACTCGCATACAGGTATGCCCGAATCCGCTATCGGTGGGGACGACGCATCGACATTCTTCCCCGTGCGCGTTGCTGTCTTTGAACAGGGGAGTCTGGTAGGATTGGGCGTGGAAAATGTGAGTCGTGGAGAGTTGAGAGAGAGTGGGGTTTAGTTCGGACGTGATGTTGAGGCAGATGAATATGTTGTTATTTAGGTGGTTGTTGTAGATACGCTGTTGTTGCTTTTTGTTGCTATTATAGATGATTGGAAGGGTGTAGGTGTAGATTGGTCGGATAAATCGTAGCACTCAGATACCTTGTTGATACTCAAGTTGAAGTACAGCATTACCAGGACCCAGGAAAGACACCCCACTCAACGTATATTGACAGAGAGAAATGTCATTTTATTTTGATACTCTCTATGTCACTGCTAGTATTTGTATTCAAGATATCAAGTAAGTAAATTTTATTGCCTCTCCAAGGCTCTCCCTCATCATTACATTCTACAACTAATAATACATGTAAGTATATACTAACCCAAAGTTTTTCAAATTATATGTAGTCAAATAATGTAAAAAACCTTTAAAGTTTCCAGAGTTTTCACATAATACACACTCTCCTGTAGGATTCCACATATATGTATATATTAAGATGTTTATATGTATTCAAGTGTATAAAATACACATGTATATGAAAGGTTGAAAGTTGTATACAATATATAAATTAGTGTATTATATACAGTGTATAGTATATAGTATATATTTTCTCTACAAAACACAAATAAATTTCTAATTATCTACTATATATATAATTATTGTATTGACTAGAATAATCTACTAACAATATTATATTTGTACTTAATAATATTCTGTATAATTAGTGTATTTTCAAGTCTATATATAAATACATTTTATATAAACTATGTACATATTTTTAGTATTTAAATAGCTATATAATGCACAATAATGAAGGACACTATTGTCCTGATTGTACTTATACAAATAGTTACAGTAATTTCTGAATCTAAACAGACTCAATTCTCTACTATCTTTTATCTGTATTATCTCTACTTACTGTGATTGAGTTCTAGTTCAAAAACATACTTTAGGTTTATACAGGGAAAAATTATTATATTATTAATCACCTTTTTATTAGGAAAAAGATTGTACCTAGTATATAGTAAGAAGATAACTAATGTGGACAAAGTGTTAGGATTGTAGGATTGGACCTATTTCATTTTCTTCATATCTCTGTCAGTTTTGCAAAAAATCAACATTACTACTACATTAGGAAAACACAAAATTACTTGAGGAGTAATAGTAATACATAGTTATGTATTAGTACATATAGTAACAGTAGAGTTTATTGTTGTATAAAGAAGTATTGATATAGAACAATATTGAACATAGTTATATATTGATATATATAGTAGCATTTGTATACATTAATATATATTGAAACACTAGTATAAGCTATATTAAACATAGTTATATATTGGAATATAAAGTAAATTATAGTTAATTGTTGTATAAAGAAGTATTGATTCAGAACTATATTAGACACAACTATATATTAATATATATAGTCAAGTAGACTCTTAAGTATTTACAACTTTACATTTGAAAAGTAAGAGTCTTACAAGTATAAAGAGTTTAATATAAATATAAAGTATAGAATAAAGACTAGTATTAGTAGTTTTAAGTCCTAGTACTTATAAAAAGAACAGAATTTTTGTTACAAACTGTATTTATATTGTTAACATTATAAATTGTCTCAGATACACAATAGTCTTACAAATATACACTATTAGAGACATAAATGAGACAATAATACTTGAAACACTAATAGCTGAGACATATATCAGAAACAGTATTCTTATTAGTATAAATGATACTTAATTAAACAGACTGTAAAGCTAACACACACAACAAACTATACTACAAATATAGAGATGAGTCTACTAAAACCCTATTTAAGTAACTACAACTCTACTATTACTGAGTCTGAACCTATAGAAGAATATTTCCTGAGAATAATTTTCTAACATATTTTTACTAGTAGTTAATAGGAACACATTTGTATTTAGTAACATAACTATATAGTAATTATATGTTTTACAGCATCTGTAGCACCTTAACACATAAGGACTGTCTGGATGGAATGTCCTAACACATGTATGTAATATTCTCAAGCTTTGTATTAATAGCTTTATTCTGATAGGAAAATAACTCTATTAGGTTAATAGTGTGATTTAAACACATTTCATACAACTCATTACAGTCTTTAACATTTACCCAGGGAATGTCCCCTGTACACACTTATAACATTCAAGTTAAAATGTAAAGAGTTATAATAGTTAATAACTTACTTCATAAATAAACATCCTTAAAAGGAACACATCTATTACTCTTGTTCTAGACACATTTGACTGTAGACACTCTAGAGCAAGCTACCAAATGTGTGTACATGTGGAAGGCAAATCCAGCCTTCCTGTACCTTCAAAGTGGGCAAGCCTAAAATTAGACAGTAGGGCCTGTCTGTCATGTGTAATAAGCACATTTGCTTAAGGAAAAATTAGCAAACATACATGTTCTAGCAATTTTAATAAACATACTGCCCAAATATTATTGTGTACAATTAGTGTGTTATACTTGTACAGAGCTTTCACTGTACACACAAGATCTTTTATCTAATTATAACATTGAAATTAGCTTTGTCTATAATATAAAGAAATTTATTTGACAATATTTCTTATAATTTTTACTAGATTAAGGAGATCAGGTATAGCCTTCATAATATTATTAATAGTACTATATAGTACAAGTAGTATTACAATACTAATGTTATTATTCTCCAGAATGTACTCTATAGGATTCAGAATATTATACTGTCCTACTAGTAAGGCAAAAACAGTCTCATATATTATTATAACCTTAAATGAATAAATTAGTAAGAATCAGCCTTCTTAACAAGAAGTATACACATTTGAAACATAGGAACATTTCTTCTTTACAACACACTTTACTACTTTCCTACTATATTGTAGCCTTACTTTAAATATTGTACTAAAAGAACCTTGACTAATTTGATACAAACTACTCTTTTGTTTGTAAATCACTTGTGTAAGATTTGAAAGACTAGATTTTATAATTACTATCTACCAGTTGAGTAGTAGGTTGTTTTCAGTATTACTTAACAGGCTAAGTACTAGTGTAAAGAATGTATGTGTAACAGGCATGTTTGTAAGTCTACCCTACAGCTTATAACAGCTTCTGTACTGTTCTGTACCTCTCCTAGTATGAAACCACATTTCTGAACCTGGACCTTCTCCTAAGCCTAAACCTCCTTAGTGTGAACCCTAGAGTCATACACATTTCCTCTTTTGTCTTCACACTATGTTTCCTTATTGTCTGAGTCACATACTCTTTATTCTTAAGTATATACACTCTCCTTTTTATCTTTTGTATTGTTTTCCCCTTTAAGTATAAGCTACCTTTGTTTTATTTCTAGTATATATAGTTTTAATCTTTCACCTTTGTTGTACCAGTTCTTATTCTAGGGGTTGGCATTTGTAAAGGTCAATGCAGACATTCCTACAGCCTGCTGCATGATGGCTAGAACACATTCTTGTGTCAAGAGTTTGAATGCTTTCTTATAAATGTCTCTTCTCTTTCCACAACAGATTTAAAAATCATTAAAAATCATTTTAAAGTTATTACTATATAAATCTTGAGATTTGTGTGAGGAATTTTCTTATATTTCAATATTGAACAAGATATGGCTGATTTACTACTATCTTACTGAAAGAAATGCTTGTATCTTAATAAATAAAAAATTTAAAAGAAATTCCTCACATGAAAATGTAGAGTATGATGGTATCAACATGAAAGAGAAAAAAGAATTAAAAAATATAAGATGTGGAATTTCTAGTTAATTTAAGAAGAATTTTTTGTCCCTGTTTGAACCTGTATACACTCAGTCAAATTTATTCAGATGCATCAGTTGGTCTACAAATGCTACCATGAGAAACCAACTTGTTAACTTAAGTTATCAATTAATAGAGTGAAGACAATTTAACTCATATTAAAATTTGGTATATTTGGAGTATACACTACTATATTATAAACTGCCAACTTATTTTGGTACTGTGATTTGAATTGAATGTTGCAGAAAATTCATTACTTTATTTAAGAGTCTTGACATGCAGATTGATGGAATCTACTATATAAGGTGCAAATATAAGCTCTGACCAGAAAAAAAGTGCCTGTGTGTCAATTGAGAAATGCTAACCTCTACTTATTCCTGACTATAACAAAGGTGAGTTCTTGTATATACATAGACTAGTTCTTATTCCTGACTGTAACAAAGATACCTTTGTCCTGTCAGTGTTCTGTGTGTATTAGTAAACCTGGAACTTAATAGAACTTGTTTGTAACAGTGTTTAGTACTTCCCTAGTACTGTTCTACTTTTTTTTTAACATTAACAAAGTAGTCTTTATTATACTACATATTAGTAAGGTTCCCCTAACTTTCCTAAATATCTTCTACTGTTAGTAAGGTTCCCCTAGCCTTCCTAAATGCTCCCTACTGTTAGTAAGGCTCTCTAACCTTTCTAAACACACTACTACAGTCTTAAAGCAAGTTTGACTCTCTTCCTAGCTACATATAACTAGGTCTTGTTTCCCCTAGTACTAGGTATCTTTGGAAGCTACTACAGTTACCTCTCTGTTAACTAGAGAAGCTGTATTTACTTCTTCTACACTACTACTATCTACTGTAACTCTAAGTTCAGATTTAGTGAGTAGCTCAGACTTCTTAGAACTAGAAAGTAACACAAGTAAGCTACTCACTCTGAACTACTAGAAGGCTATAATGTTCTGTACTACATTTACTAAAGTCTAAGTAGTCTAAGAAAGTATAACAAAGTCTCTAATACTGACTCTAGACAACCTAATACTATACACTCTCTAGTTATAGATCTCTACATTTTGTAAGTATGTGTCTATCAAATCTGTCCTTATAACTTGTATAGTTATAGTTGTAATAGAATATTTATAGGATAGTAGACTATACTAGTAGTGTGAGTATGACTAACCTAAGCTTGAAGGGCTTATACTAGACACATTCTATTAGAAGCTTTAGTGTGAAATACTCTCTATAGACTAAGTAGTACAAACCTAGAACAGACTGTTAGTAATACAGTAAGATAGTTGTAACTTCTGAGAATAGTAGCTACAGGTTACTAGGATCAACTTCAGTCTTCTGGAAGATTAGTGCCTTAATTCTAATAGGTTTTACAAACTTC